TTGGGTATGCTTCACCCCATAACGATTTAGGATGGTCCATGATCATGCACCTGACCATTGTTGTTATCGTCCTGTTGAATCGTTCTGCAACTCCATTTGATTCAGGAGTGTATGTGGGAGTCTGTTCTTAGACTATTCCTTGTAGGTTGAAGTAATACATTGTGTCTTTGTCGATGTATTCACCACCACCGTCACTTCTGAATTTCAGTATTGTTGTATTATACTGTTTCTCGATTTTTGTGACGTAGTCTTTGATGGCTGTTATCACATCGTCTTTCTATTTTAGCAAATATATTCAGGCAATGCGGGTATAGTCGTCAATGAAGGACATGTAGTACAGGGCTTTTCCTTGTGATTGTGTGCCGAATTTTCAAGATAGGTCTGAATGGATTAGTTCGAATGCTCGCTGGGATCTTGTACCAATTGGTGCAGGCTTCTTATATAAACTTTTTGATAGTGCACATTGACTGCAGTGGAATGTTTCTGGTTTGGGAGGTAGCTTATGGATGTCTTCGTACAAGTTTTCTAGTGTCGCAGGGTGGCCTAGTGCTTGATGCCATTCAGAGTAAGTGGTCGAGCGAACTGTATTGCTAACTACTTGTACATTCCAAAGTCTCTTATCCAATTTCGCACAAATTATTCCTTTCTTTTCTTTCGTGACCAATTTGTTTCCTCCTCCTGACTTTGTTCTAAACTCCTTTTTGTCGAGTACGGTTTCTGAGACCAATCCCACATTTCCCATGGTTGGGACCAGCAGCACGTCGGTGAGGACAACGGTGGATCTATCTCCATTGGGAAGGTAACATTTGAAACTAGCACTTCCCAATCCGGTGACAGTGTGGGTGGTGCCGTTGGCTGTTCGGACTGTGCTGGTTTGAGGTCGGATGTTGAAGAGTTGGTCTTTGAAAGGAGTTACGTAAGAAGTAGTTCCAGAGTCAAGGATCCAGGTAAGGGGCAGAGAAGGTGAGGTGTCAGTGCGTACCATGCATACTGTTGTGGATTATTCGTTGATAACTACCGATGCCCAATTATCCCTGCCTGTTCTCCTACTGTTTGTGTCCCTTGTCTTGTTCTGTTCTTTGAGCTTTCTGCACTCCTTGTACTCATAGCCCTGGTACAGTTGGTTCCTTTTCTTGCACCAGGTGCATTCTTTGCCGTTTGGTGTGGGGGTATTTCTGGTGTGAAGTACCCTGTTGTTGCCGGTGAGACGGCTATGCTCTTGTAGGTTTTGTAGCCGTTGGCGTACATCTTCGTATGTAACATCCTGTTTGGTCTGGATGTTATCGACGATGTTGCTCATCGACTTTGGCAGTGAGGCAAGTAGTAATGCTGCCATCGCTTCGTTGGATTTGGTGAGGGGTAGCAGAGCCTGAGCGAGTTTGTGGTCGCCGCTCTGACACCTGGTCTTAAGAGTGTTCCAGTTTGTGTTGAAGGTCTCGAGATGCTCGGTTAGGTTACCGTTGTCTTGCATCTTTGTGTCTAGAACACGGCTGAGGAGTGTGATCATCGTGTTTGGGGATACGCGATCGTAGAGGTCTTTAAGCGCCTTCCATCCATGGTAGCCATTTTCGGCGGAGACGACTGTTGGTTGTATGTCTTCGGCTACAGCTCCGATGAGAAGGCTGTGCATTTGTTTTCGGGTCTTTTTGATTTCGGCCTTGGTGAGGTCTGTGTCATCTTCTGTGGGGTTTTCGATGCTCAATCCTTCCTACCAGTCTGCTGCATCGAATGTAATCCTCCAGGCAGACGCCCAAGTTTGGTAGTTGGATCGTCCATTTAGTTTTGGGAGTCCATCAAACTTGATCCGAATGTTACTGGTGCTCGTGTTGTCTGATGACTTAACCTCCTCGGCTTTGGATGATTTTGCAGCGTCAGACTTGATGTTGTATGAAGTGTAATTGAGTTAAGCGAGGTGGCAAGTGGTGTACGGATTTTATTTGGCAAAACCCGGGCTCATAACCTGAAGTTTGGAGTGTAGCAGAAAATGACTTGAATGTGGTTTGAACACGTAACCTTGAGGGAGTATTTGTTTTTGTAGTGCGAAGAAGATACTATTGTGCCGCTGAAGTTCCAGCGACAATGTCGGCGTTTGAGCGTTTTATATATACAGATATTCTAACACCACGTGATCCCCTGATTACATAATCCCTGACACTGCGCCTTGTCTGAATCCCTGTTCCTTCTATGAGTCATCCCTTATACATGAGTAATTCCATACATAACCGATGTCGCAATGCCCTATTTCTACACTCTGACCGAGTGAACCTTGACCGACCGAGTAAACTCCCGAATGACTACAACGCCACCCACCCCCTGAACCCGTGACATCTGCCAAGCGCATCGTTACCACAATATATAATGATAATGTCCTTGACGAATACTTGACGGAATCATTGAACCCCCATCCCCCTCTCCACTGCGAATTACTCGAGATAACTCGCGCGAAAACCTCCGACTGAGCGAGCTTATTCGAAAGCCATTCGCCCTATATATACTGACTCTGCCTTTACCAGCTCTATGGCGTATATAGCCAGATCTGATGTGTTGCCCCAGCATACCACCACGTTGTTGCTTCAGCACAACGGACTTGACAGGACAACCGCCAAATTCCACAACAACCTGTCCTTCTAACATGCACTCATGCTCAGAAAATAGCTTAGCTTTTGACATTGACGCCTTTCATTCCAGCCCGTATATTCCGTTAGAGAAATCACAAAATATCACTCGCACCAAGCACAAGGCTCTGACCGATCAAGTTAGCTACCTCTTGAAATAGGGCGCTCGGCACGTTTCATAGTATTGGAGGATTCTCATTATTTCATTATAGTATTTGTCATCGAAGTATGACTCACTCATGACTCACTTTCCTATTAGTCATTCTCTCACTCATACGTTTTGGCTCATTGTATCTCTTTTGTACTCCCTCTCATTAGTATAAATACGGGGCATTCTCCTTTAGCTAGAATAAACCAACACGCTCAATCACTTCACTTCTCCTACATACTTTCTCTACTCCCAACCATTTCGTTTAGCTCTGTTGCCAACCGGTGGCTCACCCACCGCCCCCATCGCAACCCACTTCTGGGTACATGGCATTACTACCAACCCCCTTTACTCTCAGACAATGGTGATAAAACCTATTTCTAATCAGTGACAGATAACACAGTTGGTCATGATCACGGTGATACGAATTATAGAGCAGCTGAAACCCCCCCCGGGGGCTAATGCGAGGTATTATGGTATCATATCTCGGTTTTGTACCTCGTTCTCCCTACTTTTAGGTATGAGCGGAATATGTTTCGTAAAAAAAGTGTACATACCTAGATGGAAGCTTCCCGGTACCTTCTCCATTGCACAAGAAGTTTACACAATCCCGGAACTGTACCCACCCGCTGCGCCCTGCGGAGATATTTCTATGGTAAGAAGGTATCATGTTGGGAGTTAAAGCGAACGGGGCATTCGAACGCTGGAGGAGGAGGAGGAGGAGGAGGAGTGTTGGCTCTTGAATTCGCATAGCATCTATGTAAATGCATTAATGGCCTAGATCTGTCTCTCTGGGACCAATGATGGGTCAGTCCTCCAGGGTTAGGGTTTCTAACTCAATGTCACTGTTAACAAAACTAAATGGACATCCGGGGACCAAAACCTTAGATATATAAATGTATTTTATTCTACCCATAGATTTAGAGTAGATTGCATGATACCATTTCCTTTATTTTTGTTTCTACTATACCTAGAGAAGGTTTGTTTCCGCAAAATGAAAGGGAAGCAACTCACCAAATATTATTGTGGTACTAGAGGCGAAACTGTAAGCCACATTCTCTCAGATCGTCCACTGACAGCGGTGCCAAGAAGGCTTGAATAGGAATCTCCTAGGGGCCTGCTATCACTTCAGTAATTGTTATACCCTGAAGGAGACAATTGGACCTGGGGATCGGCTATATAGAGATAGTTTGAGCGAAAAAGACACATTTTCAAAAGAGCAGAAGTGGTGGGCAAAGAGTAACGAGACAGAGGAGTTAGTGGGGATGAGGGGACTGAAAGAGAAATAAGAAAGGAAATCAGTGAATTTGCTTTTGGCTTTTGATATTGTTTTTCATTTTATCCTGTGCTTCGATTTTGTTTTTGAGCTTTTTCTTTTATTTTTGGGTGCGAATTACGGCTGACTGCAGTGACCAGTCCGCCGTAATCTCTCACGTCGCTAGCATTCCGGATGAGTGAGTTAAGGAACGATAGATCGGCTACGAGGTATTCTGAAGGCATCTCATACCTTTAATACCAATGCTTATTAATTTCTGCGTCCCTCAATTATCAACTTTCTAATACGGGTTGAGTCTCGTTGACTTCCCTGATTGCGTAGGATTATGGTTGACCACCCGCCACACCCCTCCACTTTATTACAGCCATTAAGATTCAGTTGATGAGGTAGCAGCTACCAGCCAAGGGATATCTTACTAGTAATACTGAGAAGAAACTCGGTAACTCGATATAGAGCTGGTATGTCTGGGGCCTTCTTGTGCAAAAAGGTAAAAAAATACTGAGGAAAGTCGCTTCTTCCTTCATGATTATATAATTTTCTACTGTACAAAGATTGGGCTGGAGAGTTTCTGGAGCTCCTTAGATAATATTCAAACTGATTTTAGGGAGAAGATAAAAAAGAAATTTTTAGACATGGAATAAGCCAACCCTTGACAAGACCAGAAGACTATCCACAGCAGGTGAAGCAAGGATTCATAATTAACACAAAAGGGACTATAATCACATAATCAGTTAAGTTAGGAAGAATAGAACAAGGAAAGTACCTTAATTCATGCCCCCGTATGAATATAGCATGCCCATTTGATAGGTTGGCTAAGGCACTGGGCCCGCAATCTCTTGATAGCATGATGGAATGCAAAACTAACCTTCCGATGGCCCTGATAGCTCGCATTAGGCTGGTCACTAAATAGTATTCAATAAAAGTTCCCCGCAACTTATCGGCAGGCGGAGTCGTTTGATATTCACTGCATCGCAAGCACATGGCTAAATCCGGACAGCTGAAAGCCACTGGCAATATATTTTGATTCGTCGGCCAATGTAGTCGAGGAGTTCTCTGCCGTGCTGCAGGCTGAAAAATATGCTATCTGCGAATGTTGAAATTTCGTGTTCGAGATCGCCCCAACAATTAATTTATTGACCGCGAGTGTTCCCGACTCAGAGCCATCATTTTTACAAAGAAGTAAATGTCTATCTGAGGGACTCTCTGGGTCAGACACTCCATGGCAGGCGAAATGGATAACATGGTATGATGGAAGTTCGTTGAGGACCTGAGCTGTACTTGGTTGCTCCAATTGAGTTGTACTCGCTTTTCCCTTCACGATATTTGCAATATCAGCAGCTTCCATTGTTGAATTATGGAGAGGACTTTGGCCGGGAGTGGTGAGCATGTTGACAGGAAGAAGGCGAGGGTCTGCATTGCTGAGGAGCTCCAGATTCTTTTGGCGAGCGTATTAAAGCGCTTTGATCGTTGAAATATATGACGAAATGGCCTGACTTTTAGTGTTGCATGTCGAGCCACAGGAATGGTGGCCAGCAGAATGGGAAAGTTCTACAGCGAGGGGCCCCACCCCGATCCACCAAATTCGGCGTAAGTCGGTTCCCAGGTTCAATGATTTGAGGATTGGCTCTACTGCCGTATTCCACATCCACAGAAGAATCTCACCCATTCTCTGGTTTCTCAACTGATAAGTATAGCGCTTGGGTGAGGTCATTCTTAGATTTGGAGTCAAGCTGTATACAAAGCCGTTGAAATGTGTCAAGTTCCTTCAGATGCTTCAACTGTAGTTCCGAAAGGTCAGTTTTGCTATCAATAGCAACGCCCATAATAATGCCTCGAACAAGTTCCAATAACCTAAGGCAGTGAGAGGCCTCTGAGCCCGCCTGGAAAGTGAAAGAGATACTCTCAGCTATAAGATTACTAAACTGAGACAAGTGATGCTCTTGACCTTCTCTCCTCAACGATCTTGAGCTTAGGTTGGGAAGCATTCTGACGGCGCCCTCGAGAAGTGCACTTGACTCCTGCCATATCTTGCTTGCAGCAAGAAGCAAAGCTGCTTCACGAGCTGTTTGAATACGTATAGCCGGTTTCGCGATATGGGAGTGCCAAGCTGCATAGGAAAGACGAAGAATGTGATAAAAATCTCGAACCGATTTTGACTGGTTATATCGTGAAGTGAGCATAACCGCTAGATTATACAACCTTCCGGCAAGATGGAGGTCATCGTTTGTGGTCATTTCGACTGCCTTCTCACCCCACTCAATGGCCTGCTGAAGGTCCTGTAGATTTTGCTGTCCTGATTGATAATACCTTTTCGCCATCTTATTGCTCAGATTATTCAATAATCGTTCACGATTAGGGTGGTTTTCCGGTGTTGTTGCGATAGCCTCCTTGTCCCATTTGATGGCGTGCTCAAGGTCCTTGAGGTCTCCTACTTGGTCATACCCGGTTTTGAGTGCGTCACTAAGGTTGCTCAACCATACTGAACGATCAGGGTAGTCTAGCGGTGTTGCTGATATAGCATTCTCAACGCTCTTGATAACCTCCTCAAGATGAAGCTAGGTGTAAACGGCAGTAAAATTGTGCTCTCGGAGGTTGCGTTGCAACACATGTGGGGCAGCCTATTCAAGTACTTTTACTGGTGCCAAATATTATTTTCTGCAGCTTCAACCAATCATATGCCAAAAAAGGGTTTTTCAGACCAACCCATAACCCCCGGTACACTATAATGCCAGTCGTGAGTGTCAGGCTCGGAATCACAAAGCCCTCCACACCATCACGGGTACCAGAACAGCAATCAAAAATGATCCTTTGGAGAGCTGAATTTGTGTATAGTTGTTGAATAGTAGATAAATAACAATAATTTGACATTTAATATCTTGTGTATCAACTCAGAATGAAAAGGTTGTGGAAATCTGTTTGAGCCTGACGTTCAGGACTGGTATCGTACTGTATCTTCTTTGCGTAGCTCGCATCGATCTCTGTAGTCTTGTTTATGAAATGTACAATAGAGTATTTAAGCTCACTCAACCTTTTGATAAAATATGGAGCCAAGTGCATGGTAGAGGAAATATTGAAGCCAGATCCTGCTCAGATTGATCCTAAGTCTGGTCATAACCTCGTCAGCTTTAGTAGGCATATCTTCTTGGTACTTATTTTCTCAACAAAAAAAGAGGTGAGCTTAAACACTCCAATAAGATGAGATATAAATATGTCCTACTGTCTCTGATTCGTATTTTATTTGTTAGACATCCCATGGAGAGTATGAGTCTTTTAAAGTGTTAACCCTCAATTCAAAAGCCTCATCTTTGTCCTATCATGATCTATTTTCTTCTGAGTGGTAGACTAGAAGACAGGTGTATCCATTTCTAGCTGGTGAAATTTCTTGCTTAAAGGGCGAAGGTTGCAATTGGTTTCTTTGGATACGGCTACTTCTCAGATCTCGTTGCAAGGGTGCTTAGATATGAACTATATTGACTCGATAAACGGCCCTGGATTTGTAAATGTTAGAGTCGAGTCTGCAGCCGAATGCAGTTAGTAGCGCCAAGCCACTCCAATCACTATCAAGACAGATGGCCTATTTTTTTATTTTTTTATTTTTTTTGTCTAGTTCATTAATTGCATGCAAACTTGCAGTTATGGCAATATCTGTAATGTCAATATTATGATTTGGCTAAGGCGATAGATTGGAACGTGAAGAGGAGGTATTGCGCAGTTAGAATAGGATTTGTAATGGGGTTTCTGTTATGTTCTTTCGGTTTCCATTACGCGGGGCATTAGTCATCAACGGACTAGGAGTTGGATATATAAGGGGGCGTGGTCTCGTGCCTTTTCATGTTTTCCTTTCTTTCTTTTTCTCTTCATGCAACCGCCTGTATCTTACCGAGCCCGACCACTTAGGGTACGGGGGGATCCCCATCCCGTTTCGATATCCTGATTCTCGAATTGCTTCAGGCCCTGAACACGACGGCCCCCTATCTACCGAGTTGAAGCCTTTCACTAGGACTCGTCCTTCTTCTTACCCCTCCTCCAACCCGTCGGCGCCCCCGATCGCGACACCAAAACGACCAACCCTTCGAGGCTACCCCTCTCTACGTCGTATTGGCACTCTGTCAATTGTCTGGAGGTCAGCACAGACCCATTGCCAAGGCCTACAATAACCTACTGTGTTAGCGACCTCACGGTCGCGAAACATCCGTTTCTCACCTTACGCGAAGTCCCTTCGTTGGGCCTTACCCCGCTTTACGGCCCCAGGCAGGCAACCCATTCAACCGAGTTGGCTTCCCCGCTCACCCAACCCCATCGGCCCGGCATGACAACCGAGGACACCCCATGAAGACACGGTCGGCACTTACGATTGCGACAACCCCATATAATACGGAAATCGAGTTCGAAGGTCACCACTGTAGAAACCACCAACAGGTAGCGGCTCACGCTCACCCCATCTATACTTGGCCTCTGTACCATTCCTACCTTAACTTCCTGCTGCCTGACGAGCAGACTCCCAGGGATCCCATCGACACCCTCCTCCCTACGCTTTCGCACCTGATGTTTCGGCGATCTTTCGCGTTGCCTTCGTACAGTACTTCCCTTTTGGCATTGGGAATGATACTGGTTTATGGTGAACGGGTATATAGACGATTGACTCTATGTGGTTTGACAGAGAAGCTTTTGGGATTTCATTCTCCTGTAGTGTTGTTACTTTGTTCGTCGCTTAGTTTCTGTTCATATACACCATGTCGCGCGATGTTCGTACGTACTTTTTCTTTTGTCTTTGGCGGTAGTGTAGGCGTGCGATAAGCTCTGTGCTTCTATGCAATATAAAATCCAATCCAACCTGTATTTACTCCATGAATACTATGTTTGTTCTACGTGTCATCATAGGGTTCAACTGGTTTGTCATACCAAGTAGAGCCGCCCCATAGTCCATAGCCAAGAATACCTACTGCTACACCTTCACCTCGGTTGTATTCCTTGGCACTATAGTCTCTACGCCAATAGACCCCAGTTACACTTGGTTGTGTCTTCTATCGCCAATCAATACAATACTATAGTTTACAATTTCGGAACACGTCCCTGTTGATTATCAGTAACTAAGCGACGCCTTTCAAACCTTCTTTCAAGAACACCCAGATGTCGATAATAATGTCGGAATAGAAGCTTATGCACTTCTCCAACGGGCCCAACACGGTCTTGCTCAGTACGTACCAGACTTACAGGAGGTAGAAAGGGAGGCTGGAAATGCAAGAGAAATGTTTGAGCGTGACCTTGCTGCTACTCGAACTCAACGGGTTGCTGTGGAAGTGGTTGCCCCTGATGAAAAACCGATTGAGGGCGATAATGCCCCACCTGTGCCCCCAGTACTGCCCGTTACGGCTATTACCCAAAGGTCCGAGAAGCTTCCAGATCCAGAGGTGTTTAGGGGAGATCGTGATCGAGAAAGATTACACCTATTCAAGCAACAGATGAGGGTCAAGTTATTGGGAAATGGCCACCACTTCCCCACAGTACAGTCTAAGCTATTCTAAGCATTCAGTCGACTGGAGAGTGTTGCCGCTAATCAGTTCCTACAATACGTCGGGGAAGAAGGAATTGCTTTGCCTTCCATGTTACGGTTTTATGAAATTCTAGATACTGCGTTCGGGGACCCTGATCGAATGTGTACGGCTAGGAGGAATCTCAGGAACATCCGCCAACGAAATCGAACTTTTGCTGATTATTTCACCGAATTTCAAAGATATGCTGCCGAGTCGGAGATGGATGAAGCTTCTCGGATTGAGGCTCTAATGGAAGGTATCAATGTGGAACTCGACGAATCAATGATACATCATGAAACCCCTGCTACGGTAGATGCATGTCCAACGCTCTTGCAACAGTTGTATAATCGCCGTCGAGCGGCAGAAGCTAAGCGAGGAAGTAAAAAGCCTTGGAATGCTACTACTGCTCCGGCCCCTCGTCCCCCACCAGCGAATCCTGTCCCTGCTCCCAGTGCTGCCGCCCCGGCGGTCAATGTACCTACCACTGAGAACCATCCCTCGTTCCGCCCAGGAGGTGATGTACCGATGGATTTGTCTGTAGGACTTCGTCGCCCCACCACTACCGAAAGAAACGCCCGCTTAGCTGAGGGTTGATGTTTCTATTGCGGAGTTGTCGGACATATGGTTAGAGATTACCCCAAGCGACGGCAACTGGAAATCAACCAAGGAGACCGGTGATGAGGGGAGGGTCATTGAGAGTGGAGGAAAACGATGGAAGTGATAAGGAGTCAGCAAAAGATTTGTCTCTGCACTAAGTGGCTTAGCGCAGGGACTATTTAAAGATTTTACTAGGATGTGTGTTTCTGGTTTTTCGATATCAGAGGAGAAAGTGGGTGGGAACCAATTTGCAGTAACTTGTTCGATTTCGCAGAACAAAAATTCTTTTATACCCACCTACGCCCTTATTGATACCGGAGCATCAGGATATGCTTTCATTGATGAATCTTTCGCAAGCCACAACAATCTTACCATGACCTCCCTTAAAATACCCCGCCATGTAGACGTCATAGACGGCAGACCTATCAAGTCAGGAAAAATTGTCCATATCGTTGATATCTCGCGTGACATTCATGGCGATCGAGAGACCACGCCGTGTTTTGCGACAGAGTTAGTGTAGAAATAGTGCATTGTGACATCGATTATGTATGGAATTACTCATGTATAAGGGATGACTCATAGAAGGAACAGGGATTCAGACAAGGCGCAGTGTCAGGGATTTTGTAATCAGGGGATCACGTGGTGTTAGAATATCTGTATATATAAAACGCTCAAACGCCCACATTGTCGCTGGAACTTCAGCGGCACAATAGTATCTTCTTCGCACTACAAAAACACATACTCCCTCAAGGTTACGTGTTCAAACCACATTCAAGTCATTTTCTGCTACACTCCAAACTTCAGGTTATGAGCCCGGGTTTTGCCAAATAAAATCCGTACACCACTTGCCACCTCGCTTAACTCAATTACACTTCATACAACATCAAGTCTGACGCTGCAAAATCATCCAAAGCCGAGGAGGTTAAGTCATCAGACAACACGAGCACCAGTAACATTCGGATCAAGTTTGATGGACTCCCAAAACTAAATGGACGATCCAACTACCAAACTTGGGCGTCTGCCTGGAGGATTACATTCGATGCAGCAGACTGGTAGGAAGGATTGAGCATCGAAAACCCCACAGAAGATGACACAGACCTCACCAAGGCCGAAATCAAAAAGACCCGAAAACAAATGCACAGCCTTCTCATCGGAGCTGTAGCCGAAGACATACAACCAACAGTCGTCTCCGCCGAAAATGGCTACCATGGATGGAAGGCGCTTAAAGACCTCTACGATCGCGTATCCCCAAACACGATGATCACACTCCTCAGCCGTGTTCTAGACACAAAGATGCAAGACAACGGTAACCTAACCGAGCATCTCGAGACCTTCAACACAAACTGGAACACTCTTAAGACCAGGTGTCAGAGCGGCGACCACAAACTCGCTCAGGCTCTGCTACCCCTCACCAAATCCAACGAAGCGATGGCAGCATTACTACTTGCCTCACTGCCAAAGTCGATGAGCAACATCGTCGATAACATCCAGACCAAACAGGATGTTACATACGAAGATGTACGCCAACGGCTACAAAACCTACAAGAGCATAGCCGTCTCACCGGCAACAACAGGGTACTTCACACCAGAAATACCCCCACACCAAACGGCAAAGAATGCACCTGGTGCAAGAAAAGGAACCAACTGTACCAGGGCTATGAGTACAAGGAGTGCAGAAAGCTCAAAGAACAGAACAAGACAAGGGACACAAACAGTAGGAGAATCTCAAGGGACGGTGATAGCAAGTATTCCGCAGGGTACGATTGGCGACAGTAGAAGCTGTCGAGTTAGTCGAGCGGGGTCAAGCGAGGTCAAACGAGGCGTGAAGGTCTTCGTAAAGAAGAGAAGTAAAGGCGTATGTATTGAGAACCAGCGTATATATATGTATGTGGTCCTACCTGGTATGATATGCCAGGTGCGGACAATGGTTATGGTAAGGAAATACAGAAGACGTTGCGTGAGGAAAGGAGAAGAAAGGAAAACAGGAACGAGGCGAGGGAGAGCCCTCTAATATACTCAAGGAAATCCTACGATGACTAATCCCGAATGACTCACACCACGCAACCGAACAGAAACCCATAGAACGCGATAGAAACCTCCTGACTAATCCGACTCTTCGAGACCTAGCGACTCCATCAACCGATCCGTGAAAGTAGCCCCCCCCTTTAAGCGCGAGCTCCTGCGAGCCTGAGTCTTAACCTCCATCTCGAGCGGCCCCGGTTTCTCAGGGTATTGTGTATGAAAGACATCGACTGCGGCGGTGTCGTTGTGGTAGGCGGCGGGTTCCCAGGTAGGGTCAGTGTACCCTGTCCACTTGACTAAGTATTGTAGGCCGTTATTCCTTGTTTTCCGTGAATCCAGAATCTCCTCAACCTCATATTCTTCCTCCTGTTCGACGATAACGGGCGGCGGGGGTGGTTGTACCTGCCCTGGTATGGGGTCCTGTGCGGCGGGGTCCAATAGCGAGACATGGAAGACAGGGTGCATCTTCATGCTCCGGGGAAGGTCGACTCGGTAGGCGTATGGGGAGATGACTGCCTTGATGGGGAATGGTCCGAGCTTCTTCCAGTCGAGCTTCCTCGAGTTGCGGGTGGTGCGGATATTTTTGGCAGATACAAAGACCATGTCGCCGACGTTGTATTGGGGTGCGGGGGTTCGTTTCGCGTTGGTGGCCTGCTCTTGCTGATCTTGTGCCGTTCGGATATTGGTGCGTAGGTATTCGTGTAGTTCCAACATCTTTCTGGCGAAGTCTTTGGCATCGAGGCTAGGTGGTGTCTTATCGGGTGGCTTGATCGTTACTGTGAACCGAGGGTGGAAGCCGGAATTCGCGAAGAAGGGTGTAGCTTTAGTGGAGGCGGAGACTTGATTGTTAGCGGAGAACTCGGCCATAGGGAGCCACTTGACCCAATCATCCTGTTGATAGGACACATAGCCTCGTAGGTATTGCTCCATTACCGTGTTGAGCCTTTCGGTTTGGCCGTCGGTTTCTGGGTGGAAGGCAGTGGACATTCTCGCTTCGATCCCGAGATGTTTGCACAGTTCTTTCCAGAATTTGGCAGTGAATTGTGTGCCACGGTCCGAGGTGATATGCGTAGGAAGGCCGTGGAGTTTCCAGACGTTTCGCAGGTACAGTTGAGCGACATCTTCAGCGTTGACGGTTGTATTGCAGGGTAGGAGGTGTCGCATCTTTGTCAGTCGGTCTACGATTACCATGATTGCATCGTACGCCTCACTTTCCGGTAGTCCAGTAACGAAGTCCATTGATACTTCCTGCCAGGGTTGTTCGGGTATGGGCAGAGGTCGGAGTACACCGAGTTTTCCATGGGTGCTTGGTTTACTTCGCCGACAGGTGTGACAGTTCCGGATGTAGCGGCCAATGTAATTCCGCATGCGGGGCCAGTAGTAGTCCCTGCTGATGAGTTCGAATGTCTTTTCACGTCCGGGGTGTACAGCAGAAGGGGCGTCGTGGTAAAGCTTGAGGATTTGGAGTTTCAGGGGGTCGTACTCAGGGACATATAGATTACCTCGGTAAAGTAGTCGTCCTTCGTTCTCGGTGCATTCGGCGAGTGAGATATCCTTCGATTGTCGTTTGCCTTTGTTTCGCATTTTCAATATCTCTTCCGGGAATGGGTCAGCTTTATATCCTTCATTAAATAATGTATCCAGTGAGGCGTTCTTTCCAGCAGGTTCGTTTGATAAAGAACCCGCCAACAAACTTAGCTTAGTTTCCACGTTTTCCCTTTTTAGCACGACCTGACTCTGGTGCAACTGTCTTTCATCCCCCTCTCCAGGGAGATCTCCTGATCTCCTTGTTAGTGCATCTGGTTTCCCGCCTTGCTTCCCCGGTCGGTATTTGATAACGAAGTTGAATCGTGAAAGATATTCGGCCCAGCGCGCTTGCCTTCGGTTAAGCTGTTTAGTGCTCATGAAGTACTCGAGGTTCTTGTGGTCCGATATGACAGCGATTGGGTGTGCGGCTCCCTCGAGTTCCGGGCGCCATTCTTCGAATGCTCGGATGATTGCCAACAGTTCTTTATCGTAGATCTCATAGTTACACTCGGCGGGGGAGTGTTTCTTGGAGAAGTAAGCAACAGGGCGAAGGATATGGTTATCATCGTATTGGGAGAGTATGCCAGCGGAGACGTAGTCTGAAGCGTCAGTTTCCACAATGATTTCTTTCTCGGGATCAAAGTGGGCAAGAATAGGGGCGGTAGTGAATGCTTCCTTGAGGGCGTTAAATGCGGCTTGCGCTTCATTTGTCCATGCCCATGCTTTATCTTTCTTCGTCAGTCCACTCAGTGGTGCGGCAAGCTTGGAGAACCCGTATATGAACCGGCGGTAGAAGTTGGCGAATCCGAGGAATGCTTGTACGTCTTTAACTGTCTTGGGCACTGTCCAATTCTGAACTGTATCCACTTTCTTGGGGTCCATTCGGATGCCATTGGGTTCGATAATGAGGCCGAGGTAGGTGGTGCTTTGTGTGTGGAATTCGCATTTCTCCGGTTTCAGCAGTATCCCGTTGGCTTTCAAGGCTTCGAGGACTTTCTCAACGTGGACTTGGTGTTCTTCGAGGGTGTCGCTATAAATCAAGATGTCGTCAAGATAGGCTGTACAGAACATATCGAGGTACTCGCGGACGCAGTCATTGATAAAGTGTTGGAATGTAGCCGGCGCGTTGGTGAGTCCGAAGGGCATGACCGTGTATTCAAAGTGACCGTATCGGGTGCGGAACGCTGTCTTCCATTCTTCGCCTTCGGCCATTCGGATCTGGTTGTACCCCTGGCGAAGGTCCAGCTTGGTGTACCATTTGGCCTTGGACAGTCGGTCGAGTGTTTCCCGGATAAGGGGTAGGGGATACCGATTCTTTATCGTTAGTTCGTTTAGGCCACGATAGTCAACGCAAAGACGCAGAGTTCCATCAGCCTTTTTAACAAATAGGACAGGGGCACCGGCAGGGGAGGAGCTGGCTCGTATGGAACCTTTCTCCAAGTTATCCTGTATGTACTTCTTGAGAACGATCAACTCGTCGCGGGACATGCCGTATAGCGGACCAAACGGTGGTTCTTTCCCTTTTTTGAGCGGTATCTTATGGTCATATGGCCGTCGTGGTGGCATTTCATTAGCGAGGTCTTCGTCAAACATACAGTAGAACCTTTGGTATTGCGTTGGTATCTTGATTCTCCAGTCGTCCTTCGGGGTTTTGTCGATAGCTTGATCAATTTCCTCCATGGTTACGCTAAAGATCTGAAGTTTATCCCTTCGAGCGAAGCGGCAGAGGGCGGCGGAGCTGACGAGGTGGAAGCGGGGTGGCGGAGTGACTGCTTTGACGGGCGCGGCTTTCTTGGAGGCGTTGCACTTGCGCTTGCAATATTCTGACTCAAACTGTATGGTGTTCTCCTTAAACCGTAGAGTGGCGTCATGCAGCTGGAGCCAGGGGATTCCTAGTACAAGGGGGTAAGAGCCGAGTTTGGTGACGAAGAAAGGGACGGTTTCACAGTGGTCCCCGATGGACATAGGCAAGTAGCATAGGTGGGTGATTTGACCAGAAGATATGGGTCGGCCGTCTATGACTTCAAGGGTGCGAGGTGATTTGAGTGGGAGTAGAGGGAAGTTGTTATGGCGCGCGAATGTCTCATCAATGAATGCGAACCCGGAGCAACCGGTATCAATCAATGCGTAGGTTTGAATGGGAATTTTATTGTTTACAATTTTACAAGAAGCAACAAAATGATCACCATCCAATTTATCCTCCACAGACGATACCGAGAAGCCAGAGATAGAGAACGCAGACAAAGGAAAAACATTAAGTGGTCCCGGGCAGGGGCCATTCATCAAGCCCGGGACTAGTGAAAACCCGACTCGGAGGAGGCGGAGCTAGCGATCGGTGGGGGGGCGGGGTCACCGGTGGTGCGGACAGGTGCGAGGAGGGCACCCCTCATAGCCGGTTGGTTGCCACGGGGGCGGTTGGCGGAGGGGCAGTTGGCGAAGACGTGACCGGGGTTGGCGCAGTACATGCAAAGGTTATTGTCTCGCCTCCATTGCTTCTCAGCAGTGGAGGTTTTCCGTTGGCCGTTGATGAAGGTGTAGCGTTGTTCGGGGGCCGGTCGTTGGGTGGGGCGAGCCTGCAGAGCGGAAAGGTCCATGAGGGCGAGGCCTCCAGCAGTGTGGGACGGGTGTGCAGCGGCCGGGGGAGCGGTAAATTGACCCATCGTGTTACGGGTGGCCTTTTGTTCGGCCTTCCGGCCCCGGATCTGGTTGTCGATGGTCATGAGGGTGGTCGCATAGGCTTCCACAGTGTTTGGCCTGTCCGTCCTGTAACTCATAGCATCCTTGAGGTCCTCGGATAATCCTTCGGCCAGAGCATCGATCTTTGCCCCCTCATTGTAGTCTAGGTATGCCACGATGCGGAGAAACTGGGAGTAATACGTGGCAAAGTCTCCTTTGCCTTGTCTGAGTGCGACGAGTTGTCGGCGGGCGGTTCCTCGGGGGTCTGGGTCTCCGAACGAAGCTTCCAGGTGTGCGACGAAGGCGGCAGCGGAGGAGAAGGGTGCGGCAGGGTTAGCGTTGACAAGAGGAACGACCTGGTCTAGGGCCCTTCCTTCCATTCGGCTAATAGCATAGATAACCTTTGCTGCTTCGTTGCGGAACCTGTCGTCGTTGACCTCGAGTTTCATCCGGAGTTGGGTGATAAACCCAGGGAGCTTGGAACGGGTACCATCGAATTTCTCAGGGTCCGGGAACTTTTCGGACCTGAAGGCGGGGGCGGCATTGGATTG